CGGGGGGGGGGGGGGGGTCTCCCTAGGTGATGCTGGTCATGGTCAAGAAAAGCCTACTGATGTTATTGTGGTAGTGCAATCCACCAGCACTTGGGAGGCAAGGAAGGTGGATCCCTGTGAATTGGAGGCCAGCCAGCATGGTCTACCTATAGTGTGTTCCAGGACAGTCGGGGCTATGTAGAGAAACCCTGTCTCAAAGACAGGAAGGAAGGAAGGAAGGAAGGAAGGAAGGAAGGAAGGAAGGAAGGAAGGAAGGAAGGAAGGCTATTGTTCTCACAATTTAAAACTATGCTGACTGTAGGAAGGGCCACCTCTGAAAGGCCCCCAAAGCCAGGGGTTCACCAGCTGGGCATATGTACCTCTCCACATTTTCAGAAGCAAGTCTCACACACTTGGTCTGGATCTTTGTTGGTGAGGGAGAGATTTCACTGGGTTATAAGGATGTAAGCCTGTAAGAAGGATGAACATTTAAGCCAGGCATAATAGGACATGCTCGGGCTGTCCTCATTCCGAGAACGATGAACATGCCTCTGTTTCTCAAGTGCTGGTGTAAGAGTCCTTCGGGAACCACTCCGGGCCCTTAACTCTGAATTTCAGCCAGCACATCTGTAGCAGCTGGGGGGAGTGTCAATGAAAAAAGCTTTTGTTTTTGTTCAGTGCATATTGCTCTTGTGGCAGTCCCAAAATGAAGAGAGGAAAGAAAAAGATGACAAGAATTGAGAGACACCCTTGAGATGAGTTTTCCAGTCCAGCCTTATTTTATAGGCGAAGAACTGAGTTTAAATAATTCGTAATTTTCATTTGGCCTCATTATTAGCCCAAATTGCAAGGCTGGGTTTTGCCTTCTTCCCCAAGGGTGGTCTATTGGTGGCTTAGGAACTGTCTAGGCCTGGAGCATCGAGAGGTGGGAGGAACCGACCGCTGGAGGACCAACTGGGGCTTGGGAGGCGATCGCGCTTCCGGAGCGGCTTTCCTTTGTCTCCCGCCTGCGGGGCCGGAGCGGTCCCGGTGCACAGTCCAGCAGCCTCAAGATGGCTGATGGCAACGAGGATGCTCGAGACCACGACCTGCCAGGCCCGGCCTTCGAGAACTACGAGGCCATGGAGCTGGCCTGCCCGGCCGAGCGCAGCGGCCACGTCGCCGTCAGCGATGGGCGCCACATGTTCGTCTGGGGCGGCTACAAGGTCAGCGGGGCGCGGCGGGGAGGGCTTCGCTTTCGGGGGGCGACAGTCGCGGCTCTTGTTCCTTCAGGAGAGCATCTTCCTTCCCTGCCTCCGTGGACTCCTCGGGGCTCCTGGGTTGTTGTCACCGCTCTCTTGACTTACGAGTCAGCCTACGCTCCCCGCCCTCGGCGTTGTTGTCTTTGGAGCGATCAGAGCCAGGCTGTGTTATGTGGGTTGAGTAGCGGGTGACTATGGCCCAAAGTTACGGAAAGGGGTGGAGGCGAGGTTGTGCGAGAATCACTCATACCTTTGGCACAGGTCACCCACGAAGGCTTAGCCATCCTGAGCTGGGGCCTGTTAGCCGACAGATGCGATATTGTTTGCCCAAGGCCACAAGAATCGCTTACTCAACCTTCCCGAAGGTGTAGCCGTGCCATCAACACCTGTGCCGGTGCCCACCGACCTATTGTATGAACGCAGACCCATTTTCCTTAACTGGTTTCAGCTGAGAAAGGATCGCCCCTCAGAAGGCCTTACACGAAAATGAAAGGGAAAAATTCCACCAGTAACAAATGAATCCCCGGCAACATAGGTAATTGGAGTGTAGTTCTCTGGTCTTTGTCACCAGGTATCTGTTTAGAGTCATTTGCACTGCCTGTTACACCCTGAGCTGGGGAATACTGCTCTGTTGTCTTCTATTTAAAACGGTGCTAACTGGTTCTGTTGTACTGGTGGTTTTAGAACTCCCCGATACGCTCTAGTTCTTAGATTTCATTTGGTTTACATTCATCTGATCCATTTGAACCGCAAAACTATGAATACTGTTTTAATGTTAAAATGACTTCCCCCTTGGTATTGGCTTGAAATCCAGTTCTCTGCACCTGAGCTGAAACTGTTTACTTAGGGACTCTAGAAACAGTTTAGCTCACGGTACTGGCGACCTGATCACAGTTGGCCATTTTTGAGATAACTGTCTTGATAACTTCATTTGGTTTAATCATTAGTTATTTTGCCAGTCCTTATTAATTTGTCATGTTGTCCCCAGCTTCCAAGGACTAGGTTCTTAGAATTGGTGTCCAAAACTTCAGAATTAGAGAACAGATGTGTAGTGACCATTATTAAAATGTAAATTCTGGGGGTGGAAAAGTGGCTCAGTAGTTAAGAGAATTGGCCATATTTCGGGTTGGAGTCTTAACACCCACATAGCAGCTCACAACTGTTTGTAACTCCAGTCCTAGGGGATCTGACACCCTCCTTTGACCTTTTTGAGCACTGCACCAGGGGGTGCATGGACAGTTATTTAGGCAAAACTTACACACATAAAATTAATCTTTTTTTAAAAATGTAAATCCTCTTTGAGGAAGGTAGACCTGTTGATCAATCACACTTCAGTCTTAACTGTGTTATTCATAATTCTGTTTGTAAGAAAACGTTGAGCATTGAGCTATGGTGTCATTGAGTTTGGCCTCGAACTCTTGATCCTTCTGTTTCTACCACACAAGTGTTAACATGCAGATGAGACTCTTCCATAGTGTGTTGGGAAATTGTCAGAGTGGGAATTTTCTAATTTGGGGTTTATAAGGTCTCAATGCCTTGAAATCAGTCACTGTCAGTGAAGTAGGTGATACAGAAGCCGCAGTCCTCCACTTGGAACAAAGACAGGGTTTTGGTAGCTCTGGCTGGGCTGTAAGTTGCTATGTCAACCAGGCTGACCTCAAACTTCTAGAAATCCATCTGCCTCTACCAGTGTTAGGATTTAAGGTGTGTGCCATCACTCCTGGCAACCTCTACACGTCTTTGGTTGGAACCCTTGAATAGGCACAGGAAGCCTTGGAGATCTGAGGCAATCATCTGGCTTCTTCCTAGTAGTTGTAGTTGTCATCTTCCCTGTCGTGGCCCCTCCCAAACAGCCAGGCGGGTCAGCCCACTGTTTGCTTTCTAGTCCTGTGACCTTTACTTCTCTTACCACTCCAGGAGGACAAGAAGAGTTGCATGGCTGGCTGCTCCCATTACTATATAATATTCAAGTGTGTGGTCCCTGCCTCACTTTCAGTGAAGAGCGGATTTGATTGTGTTTTGTCATGATCAGGAAGTGGCCAGGGAGGATCTAGGAATGCAGTAAGGCAGTCCTCACTGGAAAGGAAGATTCCTGGTCTCACCACTGCTTGCTAAAGAACCCTGAGCAAATTATTTATACTTTAAAATCTTGTAATCACTTTTTTGTTAAGATTAAATAAAGCCATTTGAGGACATATAGTAAACTTTGTCTTTGTTAGAGTTAATACTTGAAGGGACCTAGAGTAGAACATAGAACAGAACAAGGAAATTACAGTTGTTGCCGAAGACTCAATATTTGCACAGTTGTAATTTTGCCCTCAGAATGAGAGGATGAAAGGAAAATTTGGCTAGAATACCATGTGAGCATGGCCAGAGCATTTAAGTCATCTAAAGTCAAGGAACTGAAATCAAGTGTGTGGTCTGGTCTTTCCAGGATACAGCATGACCTTAACGCAGCAGTTTTCAACCTGTGGGTTTCTACCCCTTTGGGATCGAAGACCTTCAGGGCTTGCCTAAGACCATTTTGCATATCATATATTTATGTTGTAGTTCATAACAGCACAATTACAATTATAAAGTGTTAACAAAAATAATTTTATAGTTGGGGATCAGCACATTAGGAAGTGCATTAAAGGGACTCCCCTGGGGCCCCTGTATTATTTACAAGTGTTGTATCAAATGTTTGACTGAAGGTCTGTCTGCCTAAGCATCCCTATGAACTATCAATATCATAAATAGTATCTCAGATAAGATACAAAACCCATAAAATGGGGCTGGAGAGATGGCTCTCTTAACCAGAGCACTGACTGCTCTTCCAGAGGTCCTGAGTTCAATTCCCAGCAACCACATGGTGGCTCACAACCATCTGTTATGAGATCTGGTGCCCTCTTCTGGTGTGGAAGCAGATACATGGAAGCAGAATGTTATATGCATAACAAATAAAATCTTAAAAAAAAAAAAAACCATAAAATGCCTCTTTAAAATACCAGTTACTCCGGCAGGGAGATGGTGCAGTGGGTAAAAAAAAATCACTGCACAAGCCTGATGATCTGAGTTTGAGCCTCAGAAGCCATGTAAAGGTGGAGGGAGAGACCTGACCTACAAAATTGACCTCTGAGAACCGCCAAATAAGCACTATGACACTTGTGCTGACAACCCATATCACATACACACAACACACTAGTAGTAAGTTAAAAAATAAAATGGCAGTTGTGTACACTTGCAGTCTTTCTTATTCTTCATAGAGTAATCAAGTGAGAGGATTATATGACTTTTATCTGCCCAGAGAAGAGCTTTGGATCTACAACATGGAGACTGGAAGATGGTAACTGGATATTAGGGCAGGTGGGGGAAGGGGGGATTATAAACTTTAAATAATTGCAAAGTTGAAAACACATTCTGGGGGAGGGGGCTTTCTTTTCTTTTGAGACAGGGTTTCTACATAGCTCTGACTGTCCCTAGAACCTAACTATGTAGTCCAGACTGACCTTGAATTCAACAGAGATGCCCCTGCCTCTGTATCTGCCTCCAGACTTCTGGGATTAAAGGCATAATGCCCAGCAGAAAACCCATTCTAATTAATGAGAATATTGTAGTTAAGGATGCTAAGCTCTCTCTATTCTAGTTTAGATTAGTTGCTGAACTTAGTGCATAGCAGATACTGTCATGCTTTCAGAAGCCTCTAATCAAGGCTTGGTCAAATTACCCTGAAGTAGGTGACGTAGAACCTGGAATGGGAAGATGTTACAAGTGTGGTTTGGTATTTTGAAAAAGAGGTCTTTAGTTTGCCATAATTGTTAGGTTTTGCATGGTTTATAATTTATTGGCTCAAAAGAAGTTTTGAGAAAAGTCTCTTTTAGAGTACTATTTTCTAGGTTGCATTAGTAGTTGAGTAGCAAAGTACTTGCCTGTCCAACATGAGGCCCTGGGTTTGCTTTTTTCACCTGAAAAAAAGATCTGTTTAAAAATAAAAGAGCAGGGCGTTGGTGGCACACACCTTTAATCCCAAGCACTCGGGAGGCAGAGGCAGGCGGATCTCTGTGAGTTTGAGTTCAACCTGGTCTACAGAGTTCCAGGACAGCCAGGGCTACATAGGGAGACCCTATCTCAAAAAACAAAACAAAAAATTACCCAGTGATATCTGAGGGTTTCTCAGGATCTTCTGCCTGTCAATAACAGTGTGAGTCAAGGACATGTTAGTAGACTGGACAGGTTTCTCAGAGTACTGGGGTCACCTTTTGGGGGCTTCTAAAGGTGTTTCCCAGTAGTTCGTTTCATGAAAACTTTATTCTTTAAAAGACTTTTGTTGCTTACTATCTTATTGTCAATCTTGGAGCCAGAATGGTAATCCTATTTGGTTTAAGGCAGGTCACAATTATTTTTGTAAATAGTAAATGAGTTCATATGGGCTATTTGCTAATCTTTTTTTAGAGGACTGGAAAATTCCCAAAAGAAGAATTCAACATATTTCTTAAGATCAAGAATTTAAATAAGCCTACTTCAAGCTAAGCACAGATAAAGTAATTATGATGTAATCAGGAGACCTGAGGTGAACTATTAATTTTGTGAATCTCTACACCTGGGCATAGTGGCACTTTCATTTAACTCTAGCACTTAAAAGAGGAAGCAGGCAGATTTTTGTAGTTCTGGGCCAGTCAGGACTACATAACTAGGAGTATTACATAGGGTTTTATTTAAATCACTAAAAGGTGACTTAATTTTAAAAAATTGAATTACTCTGTCAGCACTAGGAATGTTGATGCTTTCCTTTTGGATCCTTAGCCTACTTAAAAGCAAACTAGGGCCATGGAGATGGCTCAGCAAGTAAAAGTCATTGCTGTCAAGTCTATGACCAGAGTCCACATGGAGGCAGACTTTTATGCATGTGCTCTGTCACAGCTTTGCCCAGACAGATACAAACCAGTCAGTTAAGACCATAGAAGTAAAAAGCCAACGGTTTGGGAAATGGTTTGAAAAACATCAGAGGTTTTCAGAGCCTTTCATTCTGCTTGTGTAAGCTCGAGTCTTCCACTATCGGCCAGGTGTAAAATGGGGAAGCTGATTCCTTGGGTTATCTTGAAACTAGAAGACCCTAGATATTGTCAGCCTTCTTTTTCTTATTGTGGGATATAAGTTAATAAGCCTCGTGTATGTTACCCTCTGGAAAACTTGTCTAACCCTCTTTTAGGAAAAAAATCAACACTGAAGGCGACGTCCCCCCTTCCATGTCTGGGAGCTGTGCTGTGTGTGTAGACAGGGTGCTGTACTTGTTTGGAGGACACCATTCCAGAGGCAATACAAATAAGGTTAGTGTTTTTGAAGGATTATGGTTCTAAGCAGTTCAGAAGCTCAGGCTCCAGAAGAGACACCTAAAGGAATATGACTAAATGGCTGCAGACTAGGGTTTGTAGGATCGGAATGGAACAGTACTCACCCCATAGGCAGTGCTTCAACAGTGAGAAATCACAGTTCAAGGAAATGTCAGGTGGTTTTGTGATTTTTGAGATCCTGGGAGAGAACTGTGGTGTGTGTCACTTAAGTTCCAGACCATTCCTTCTTTGCTTATATGAACAAATGCAGATGTGGCAGAAACATAAGTGGGTACTACCTGAAAAGGCTTACAAGGGAGTGAAGCTGGTTTCCAGAGGGTGGGTAACAGAGTGGTTAATACTAACACTGGGCTGGAGAAATGGCTCAGGGTTTAAGAGCACTGACTGCTGCTCTTCCAGAGGTCCTGAGTTCAATTCCCAGCAACCACATGGTGGCTCACAACCATCTGTAAAAGTAATCTAGTGCCCTCTTCTGGCACGCACTGTATACATGATTAGTAAGTTTTTTTTTTTTTAATTATTTATTTAACACTGCTAGAGTTCAGGGTTTTACATTTGACCAAAAGGAAATTTAGGTGTCTCCGAAAGGTGAGGTATATGTGTTCTGTCACCTGGATTTGAATCCTGAGGCAAGTATTTAATCTTTTTTTTCAAGATTTATTTTTATGCCTATGGGTGTTTTGCCTGTGTGTATGTCTTTGCATCGTGTGTGTGCCTTGGGCCCGTGGAGGCCAGAAGGGAGTATTAGATCCCTTAGAACTGGAGTTATAGACTGTTAAAAGCTGCCATGTGGGTACTGGGAATCAAACCCAGCACAGACTGCTGTTCCAGAGGTCCTGAGTTCAATTCCCAGTAATCACATGGTGGCTCACAAACATCTATAATAGGATTTGATGCCCTTTTCTGGCATGGAGCTTTACATGCAGAGTGTTTATACATAAAATATAAATAGAATTTTAAAAAAACAACCAAACTTTACATTCTGTTGTAAATTCATAATCCTGATACAGACCAGTGTGGCAGCCAGTCTGTAGTCACACTTGGCACTGAATTAGATGGTACCTTTATCACAAAACACAGTTAAAAAACAAATGCCAATATTGAGTTTTCTATGTAATGAAAACTGACTGAAATCATTGCTTCTGACAGTTCTACATGCTGGATTCAAGGTCTGCAGACAGAGTGTTACAGTGGGAAAGAATTGATTGCCAAGGAATTCCTCCATCATCAAAGGACAAACTTGGTGTCTGGGTATATAAAAACAAGTACGTTTGAAGCACTGTAGGTTTGGCCTTTTGTGCAGAATGTAGTTACCCTGTAAGTACCCTAGTCAGCATTATAAGTAAGCATGGAGCACATCACATAGTAAATTAATACATGAGTTCATCTAACTTAGCACCTAAAAGCTAGTTGTCATGTTAAGCATTAGTTGAATAACATTTTTCATATACTCAACTCATTCCAGATATCAAGATTTAAAATACCCTGTGACCTAGTTTACAGATACTTAAATTCTTTGTTTTGGTTTTATATCAAACAGGTTAATATTTTTTGGAGGGTATGGATATTTACCTGAAGATAAAGTATTGGGAACTTTTGAATTTGATGAAACATCTTTTTGGGTAAGTGAAGTTTCATATTACACATGGCCTACTTAGTATGTTGAAAATACATTCTATTTTGTATTTTCTGAATTTTTACTTTCTGAATTTCTATTACATTTTGAAATTTTAATTTGTATGTGTGAGTGCATGCCTTAGTGCAAGTGACACACTGTTTCAAAGTCAGAGGATAACTTGGGGGAATTTGTTCTCTCCCACCAAGTGGGTTCTGGGGATTGAACAACTTAGGGCATCAGGCTTGGCAGCAAGCACCTTTACCAGCTGAATCATCCTACCAGCCCAGAAATCATTTTACATTCACCAGCAGTTTTCATTTTACTTGTTAATTAACTGGGCAAGCAAGGGTTATGTAATTTTATAAACAGTATTTGTAAACTAACACAGATTGTTTTCTGTAGAATTCAAGTCATCCAAGAGGATGGAATGATCATGTACATATTTTAGACACTGAAACATTTGCCTGGAGCCAGCCCGTTACCACCGTGAGTTACTGAGGAATGAAGTGTACTTAGAGGAGGGTACACCAGAGTTGGGAGGGGCCTGAAACTGACAGTTCATTCTTGTTGTTTTCTGGAATGAGGCAATTTGTAGCTTTATTGCTCTTCAAGGAGGACAAACCTCAGAAGTTTAACAAATAAATATAAAGACTGCCCCCCCCCCCCCCCCGCCCCACCTCTGTGTTTTATCTTCATTTGATAGTAACTAAATCGAGCTTTAAATTAAAAGTTAAAGATTAGATTTCTGCCCTTTTAAAGATACAATACAATGTGCCAGTCTTTATTTTTTTTAAAACTTGTTTATTTTTATTTTATTTGCATTGGTATTTTGCCATGGGTGTTGGGTCCCCTGAAATTGGAAGTACTGATGGTTATGAGCTGCCATGTGGGTGCTGGGAATTGAACCTGGGTCCTCTGGAAGAGCAGTCAGTGCTCACCCCCAGTCTTTTTTTTTTTTTTTAATTTTTTTTTTAAGCAACTATTCTGACATACTAACTTATTTCTATTAAAATATTCAGTTGTAGTATCAGCTTTTAATACTATTGCTGTCAGTAAACTGTACTTTGGCCTTTAAATGTCTGAGTATCTGGCATATACTAGTTCTGTGATATTCAGAAAAGACTGATATTTTCCCTGTTTATAAAGTTCACTTATTTATGTTTTTTTTTTAAACCTTTTTAATAGGGTAAAGCACCTTCACCTCGTGCTGCCCATGCCTGTGCAACTGTTGGAAACCTGGGCTTTGTGTTTGGTGGCAGATACAGAGTGAGTATAAAAATAGGTTTTAACGACTTGCTTTTGGATACTTCAAATGGTAACTACTTACTTAACTCTTTTTTAGGATGCTAGAATGAATGATCTCCACTGTCTTAATCTGGATACATGGGAGTGGAATGAACTGTAAGTATTCCTTAGATATTTAGAAAAGCTTTCCAAAATACATTTCAGACCCTAGCCTCTTCCCCAGTAGTATGTAATAAATGTGCTTCCAGTTTCTGTAATTTGGGTTCTGAATAAACATGATTACTGGGGTCCTTAAGGAATTTTATTTTTATTTCCAGTTTCCCTAACTGTGTGCCTGGTACAGCATGTTTGCTGAAAAGAAAAAGTCTAAAGTTGATTCTGCCTTCAAAGAACATAGTTCAGTATAAAGTATGAAGTTAATACTGAGAGGTTTCTTTTTCTCAAGCATGCTGTATGTTTTGTGGGTGCATGTTGTGTGTGTAAGTGTATATAGGTTCAAAGCTGACCTCAGGGGTCTTCAACTTTGTCTACTATATTCATTGAGGAAGTGGTCTCTCAACTAAACCCAGAGCTTACCAATATGGCTGGCTAGCATGCCTGCTTAGAGGATCTCATTGTGGCCTGATAAAAGCCACTCAGTGCCACCACAGCACTTAGAGGTGGGCTGCCCTGTCCTCTTGTTACTTATGTAGGTCCTGGGGGTCCAAGTGGTCCTCATGCTTTTATGGCAGTTTCCCTTCGAAGCCACCTCCTGAGACCCCAGGAAGCCTTTTTTCAAGCTTTCTTTTTCTAATAATCCATATACATTTTAAAAGAAATCTTCAACATTTCTCTGTGGTATCTGGCTTAAACGTAGTTTTTTGTGTATAAGGTTGTTTATGTGAGCATGTGGAGATTTAAGTATAGTCTCTGGTATACTCAGTGGTGTTCACCTTTTTTTATTTTGGGGTGGTTTTTTGTTCTTGTGACAGGGTCTTACACTGCAGTACAGGTTAGCATGGAATTTAGTACATAGCCTAGGCCCTTCTCAAACTTGTAGAAGTCTTCTACCTCAGCTTTCCATGTGCTGGGATTCTGAGTGTGAATCTGTTTGCCCTTTTGAGACATGGTTTCTCCCTGGCTCGTAGGACAGGCCAGCATACTCTAGGGGCTTACTTCCCCAGTGGGATTGCAAGCATGCATCACGCCTGCACCCCCACCCCTTTTTAAATAATGTGTGGGTCCTGCCGATGGAACTCAGGTTCTCAAGCACTTCATTGACTTAGTTATCACCCAGACTCTAGCCACAAATGGTGTAACTCTGCTGTTATTTTTAGAATTCCACAAGGCATATGCCCTGTTGGCCGTTCCTGGCACTCACTGACACCAGTCTCTTCAGATCATCTTTTTCTCTTTGGAGGATTTACCACTGAAAAGCAGCCACTAAGTGAGTCCTTTAAATCTTATCATGTATCATAGTTATGCATTGGAAGTGTACTACTCACTGAAATTCAATCCTAGCTGTATGCTTGCAGGTGGGCTTCATGTTGACCCATAACACCTTATAATTGTACACATTGTGACCTAAATCCATTTTGCCTAGTTAAAAAACATTACTTTGAGCACCTAAAGTCCTTGCTGAAAGGTTGTACATGCAGTGGCCTTACTTCTGTAACCACAGAGAACAGGAATAGGATTTAACTTAAGGAGCACAATAAGTGTCAAACTGTCAGGATGAACATACTTCATAGCTTTTTCTTTGTTTAATCAGGTGATGCCTGGACTTACTGCATCAGTAAAAATGAATGGATTCAGTTTAACCATCCTTATACTGAAAAGCCAAGGTATGAACTACCTAAAAGGTATAATTTCTTACAATTAATTCGTAAGTCTCATAAGTATACAGGATGCTTTGGCTGGATTTTATCCAACATTCTTAGGAAAATCTGTTACTCATTAAGGTTTATTAATATCATAATATCATTAATATCATACTTCCCAAAAGAAGACCCATCAACTACCTGAGTGTCCAACGCTTGCTTTTCTACCATCTGTATGAAGAACACTGTTAATGCTTTAAACTTTTCAAGAATGTACATGGAAAAAAAATCAAACCAAGAATTGTTCATGGTTTGTAGTAGCATTATTAAAGAAAGATTAAGTAAAACTTTTTGAGAGGCAGGAAAAAAATACTGGGTGAGTAGGCACATACCTGTGATACATCCCTTAGAGGCCAAAACCAGGAGGATCAAGGGCTGTGGGTTACGTGAGACACTAAATTGTTTTCTTCTTTTTAGACTGTGATGGGATAACTTTCTTTTTAGTCTCCAAAGGAATTGCTACAGGCAGTTACATACTTAGACATTGGTATTTGAAGTGAATTTAAGTATGCCAGCCTCCATTTTTTCATCCAGGCTTCTAATCCAAGTATAGTCATTCTGCTAAGACGTTTGGCAGACATGACCCTTCCACAGAATTATGCCGGGTGGAGAGCTTTAGTAACTTACTGCAGTCACTGTGTGCGAGGCCAAATTCTCCACTACTGCTTAGTCTCCATAAGACTTATTGCTAACAAAGACCTAGATTGTTCAATTAAAATCCCACATTATGTAGCCCTGGCTGGCCTGGAACTCATGTAGACCAGATTGGCCTCAGACTTAGGAGATCCACCTGCCTCCACTTCTAGCATGCTGGGATTGAAGGTGTCTGACACAAAGGCCAGCCTTATTAAAGACTTCTTTTACTTGAAAATTGGATTTCTTGCCATATTTGATCTGAATATAGTTTAAAGTGATCAGTTTGGACTTTTGAATTACATAGAACTCAAGGTTTTGTTTTCCATGCAGGTTATGGCATACAGCTTGTGCAAGTGATGAAGGAGAAGTAATTGTTTTTGGTGGTTGTGCAAACAATCTGCTGGTCCATCATAGAGCTGTAAGTACACCTTTACTGCTATGAACATAACATTTTTGTGGGTGCAGGCGTGTACCATGGGATGAGGACAATAATTGTAAATTACGTTCTTCCATCATTTGGGAACTCAAGGTTGTCATCCATGGTGACAAGAGCCTTTATCAGGTGAAACTTGCTGGGCCTTTTTTTTTTTTTTTAAATTACTTTTTGGAGACAGGATTTTGCTGTGTAGCCCATTTCTGGAACTCTTCTCTGTAAACCAGGCTGGCCTTGAACTCAGGTATCCACCTACGTGTGCCTCCTAAGTGCATGGATAAAAGGCATGCACCACCACTGCCTGACTGCTTTTTGTTTTTATTAAAACAAAGAACAAAACTCATGTGATTGGCATGTGCATATAGTTCTCATGAAAACCAAAAGAGGGCATTAGCTCCCCCTAGAGAGCAAACAGCCCCAAGTACTGGGAACTAAATTCAGGTCCTCTGAAAGAGCAGACCTCTCTCTCTATCTCCAGATCCCTTTTTCTGTGGTGCTTAGGACTGAACACAAGGCCTATGAATGCTAGGCAGAACTTCACCAAAGCATATTCCCTCCCAGCTTTGGGTCCAGCTCTTGCCCTCACTGGGGTAGGACCTGCTGCAGTCCTCCTGCCTTTCCTCCTAGAGCTAGGGTTACAGGAATGCATCACACCAGCCTGCTTTCAGCATTTGCTTTCTAACGTGGTCTTCTTTTCTGCCAGGCACACAGTAATGAAGTACTTATATTTTCAGTTCAACCAAAATCTCTTGTACGGTAAGTTATTGCCAGGTACTTGGTACCAGGTATATGACTATTTAAAGGCAATAATGAATCTTCATTTAAGCTAATATAAACTTATTTTTTTCTTTTCTTGTCCACTTTTAGGCTAAGCTTAGAAGCAGTCATTTGCTTTAAAGAAATGCTAGCCAACTCGTGGAACTGCCTTCCAAAACACCTACTTCACAGTGTTAATCAGAGGTTCGGTAGTAACAACACTTCTGGATCATAAGGCCTCATAGATAATAATTCTCATCTACTTGCATGGAAAACGATCCTGTATTTGTCACAGAGTGGCACCCTTTGTATAATGATATGCATTGTTGTAGTTTGCAGCTTTCTGGGTTTTATGTGCATGTGAATGGCCTAGAGAACTTATTTTTGTGTCTAAAGTTTACAATAAATGTATTTAACACCAGTACCTGTCCATTGTTAAAGTAAAAACCCACTACATTAGCTTTTTATACCAAGAATGTGTATAACATTTTTTTACATTTATCTTTTGATAATTTGGATGTAATGTATCTGTAGCAACTGGAAAATGCTACATTTTTAGCCTTGCACTTAATGTAGCCAAGGCTGGTCTTGAATCAGTTATACTCCAGCCCCCACCTCTCAGTGCTAGGATTAAAAGTGAGCTATCACACACACTTGGGTGTGTGTGGAGATGGTGGCGCAGTGGGAGTGAAAGAGTCGTATACATGATATAGCCCATGCTACAGTTAATTTAGTACTTCAATCCTGGAACAGGTGGTCATGTTTACCATCTAGTTAATTAAAAAGTGGCAGTATGTACCTCATGAAGGCAGAGAGAGAAAACATATGACTCTATTCTCTGTTCTCATCAGAGAGAGAAGAAAACTGGACCAGAAATCTTTAGGGATAAGCCTAAAAATGCACTTCTGATAATCTGATAGATAAGATATTATTTGATGAAAAAGAAAATGGCACACAACTGAATGACATTAAAAGGGAGAAATTAGGGTAGAAGGTGATGTATATGATACACAGAAACAACTGTCATTTTTCTCTGTGTGTTGTTTTTTTGCATTTGATGTAAAATTTGACAAAATTTTCAAGACACAAACCCCCACAAAACCAAGCAAAACCCCCTTGTGATTGGTTGTAATATGTGTGTATTAGATGTTATATATAGTAAACCTCTGGGCCAGTAGTTAATGCAGTTGAGCCACTTCAGGGTCTTTATATCATTAAATGAAACCTCAAGAATTTCAATAAAATGCAGAACAATTACAGATGTGTATCATTTAACAAATATTTTAGGAAATACTATTGTAATAGTTTATATATGTATATATATATAAAACTTGAAAAAAACCTTAAGTCCTTTTGGTGATATAGCAAGGCAATGTGTTCATTTGTAAATGTGGAAGTCCTATTAACATGTCTGCATCTTTGAACTTCCAAAGGCTATAAAACTGGCTCTTCACAGTGTTTCAGGATTTCATTTCAGCTATTTTCTTTTTACATGAAGAAGATTAGGTGCGGACACTTTCACTTTGCCAGGAATGTTTCTTGATAAATCTGTGTCCTAAAAAAGAAAAGCGCTTAATGTTTTCATGTCCCATGTAGTAAGTCATGTTTAGGGTAATCATATATATTCTACTGTCAGAAGAAAGGCATTATAACTTTGCTGAGCTGATTATACTTATTTTATGGCTCCTAGTAAGACAGCACTATATCAAGACAGTAGAAAAGATCTTGATCAGACCACCAGTCACCAGAGTTCTGAAGGAAAACTTTACCTTCACACTGCGGAATAAGTCTTTTTCTCTTGCTGTTGCTTCTTTGGAATGCATGAAACTATTCAAGGCTGTTTTTGCAGCTGTAAACAGAGAGCTTAAGAATGTATTTCTGGTTCAGTCACTTAAAACTATTTTAAAATCAGAATAAAAAAAAAATCCTAAGTTACCTTTTCCCTTTTTCTGAACTCCAGGAGTAAGTTTCACTTTGTACCTTAAAAAGAAAAATTGTATGAGTTACTACATGGAGATGGAAATGAGATTCATAAAGGCATGTGGCAGCTATTACAAGTGAAATAATGATGACTTACTTATAATTTGTCATGGTGGTATAAGGAGCACATATTGGAATAGCAAACATTAGTACATCTTCAGGATGTGGCTGCCCTGTCAAAGAATCAAACAGATTTTCCTAAAAGGGGAAAATAAAAACAATTATAAAAAGGAATTTATGCCAAACTTTTTTAGCCTTTTCTGACAATATAATCTGACAGCAATGCCCAAACTGCTTTAGAGTTACAAAGAACTGAAATGTAATGTTTGAATATATATTCCTTACAACTTTGCCTACAATATTCAACAATGGGAACATTTTTCAAAGCACCATTTAGTGACTTTTAGAAAGAGGAAGACAAATGGGACACTGCAACTAAGCTGCAGGGAAGCTACTGTGGATTCAAAAGACAAACACTAATAACTACAAGGAGTTTAAGTCTGTTGCAAGGAAACAGACTTCAATGTGGGCTAGATCAGTGATTTTTCTTTTTCGTGTATAGAAGCCTCTATTAACCTTCAACTTATCTAAATCTTTTACTCAGTTTACAGGTTGGGCAAGCCTAGCTGGTCAGCAGACTCTTGTTCCCACTTCTGTTGAGTAAGGGTTAAAAGTACACGCTGCTTTGCCTGGTTTTCATGTGGGTGCCGAGGATTCTGATCTCATGTGTGCGTGGCAAGCACTTTACAGACTGAGCTGTTTCATGAGACAAAATGGTCTCATTGTGTAGCTCTTGCTGTCCCAGAACTCATTATTGTACACCAGGCTGACATCAAACTCATCTACCCATAGAGATCTACCCATCTCTGTCCCGAGTGCTGGGATTAAAGGCATGAACTGGGGACTTTGTCCCCGCTACAAGAGACTCGCCAGTATTTTGGCATAGTTTTGGTTTTCAGATGGAAAGGAATGGTATCTAATGGATTAGGTCAAGGGTATCTCTCCCCCCCCACCCCCCACAATGAAAGAGTATCTCTGTGTAGCTTTGTGGACCAGGCTGGCTTCAAACTCACAGAGATCCACCGGCCTCTGCTTCCCAAGTGCTCGGATTAAAAGCATGTGCTTCCACCACCTGGCGGCCAAGGATATTGTTAATCAACAAAGGATCCTACTTTCCAAAATGTGAACAGTGCCAGGCTGAGAAAGTCTAGGCTTCTCTCTCTCCCCTCTCTTCCTCTTTCGCCACCACCTCCCTTTTTTTTTTGAGACAGTGTTGGAGGCTGTCCTGGAACTCGCTCAGTGGATCAGGATGGCCTCGAACTCACAGAGATCCACCTGTCTCTGTTTTTAAAATGTGTGTGTTTATGTATCATGGAGAAAGAATGCATAGTGTGTTGTGTGTGCATTCATGGAGACCAGAAGAGGGCACCAAATCTCCTAAAGCTAAAGCTATAGCTGGTTTTCAGTGGCCCCATATAGAGGCTGGGAACTGAACTCAGGTCCTCTGGAAAGGCAGCTCTTCTTAAGGAGAAATTTCAGAACTCCTTAAACTAATTCTCATTGTAGACTATCTACAAGGGCAAAATGCTTGGTGCTGAACTTTTCAATTACTTTAAAAAGTGATTATTATCCCCATAAATAATCATACTGTGGCACAAAGGAAGGGGAAGGATAAAGATTTTCAGGCTAGGTATGGCAGTGCACACGAGGAGGCAGAGGCACGTGGATCTTTTGAGTTTGAGACATTTCAAGAATGCATAGCAAGTTCCAGGCCATCCAGGGCTGCATTCTGAGACCCTGTCGAACAACAAAAACCAAGACTGGCTGCAGAGCCTGCAGTTATCTTTACTTTTCAGTTTTGAGTAGTATTAGATGTTCTGGCAAACAGTACAGTGAGATGGAATAGAAACCCCTACACAAATCATACCTCATTTCCCTGCTGATCCAGATCGTGCTCTTCCTAGTTCCAAACAAAGATGAAAGTCAGCTATGAAACTTTGTACCAATAAGCCACAAGCAGAAAAACACTGATATAATAAAACTGTTGTATAACTCATAACAGGAATTGAAGAATACACTTTGGGTCCCCTAAGACTTTAAAGTAGATTAGTGTGTACATATTTAATATTTTAGAAAGCATTGCCATTGAAAGAGAAATTAACCAGTGTGACAAAATCTTAAAAGTATATGCTGATGTCGAGTTAAGTTGTAGAGACATCCTGAAATGAAAACTGAGTTCAGTATTTGTAGAGAAAAGTAATCTTACAAAAAGAACTTTAAAAAATGTTTGCTAACAATTTTAAAATGAACTTCAAATAGTGAGATAAACTTAGTTTTGTATATTTAAGTTATGTGGACAATACCTATTTGGAGACAAACTAGTCTCAGTCTGTTTAGGCTGCTGTATCAAGAGACTTCAGAATGCACAATTTTAAAAATAAATTTACATTTAACAGGTCTGCAGGCTAAAAGTTCAAGGTCAGGACAGCAGTAGGTTCTGCGAAGACTTGTCTCAAAATGGTACCTTAGTAGAATTTGGTAGCACACATTTGTAATTCCAGCACCTGAAGTGTTGAGACAGGACGTGCTTACTCAGCAACAGCAAATTTAAGATCAGTCCCTGCTACATGAGTCTTATTTATTTACCTCCCCCACCTGGAAGGGATTCTCTGTGTAATAGCCCTGGCTGTCCTGGAACTCACTCTGCAGACAGGCTGGCCATACACTCACAGAGATCCTCCTGCCTCTGCCTCCTAAGTGCTGGCATTAAAGGCGTGCACCACCACCACTCAGCTACATGAGACTCTTAAAGCAGTAACAAAAAGTGGCATCTGATTGCCAGGTCTTCATTTGGCAGGGTCCCTTTAATCTCATAAAGGCATTTACTTTCCTTCCTAAATGCTCCACTTGCAATATCACCACACTGCCATTTAGGCCATAATCCATACCCATGAAAAATTAATAATACCTCTTAGGAATTTTTCCCTTTCCATGACTTAAGCTGGCCTCATACTTGCACTCCTTCTGCTTTGGCTTTTGAAGTGCTGGAATTCTAGCTATATGCCACCATATCTGGCATGGATTTTTGTCTGTCTGTCTGTCTGTCTGTCTGTCTGTCTGTCTGTCTGTCTATCCTGTCTATCTATGTAATCTATCCATCTAATCTACCTTTTTTTTTTTTTTTTTTTTTGAGACAGGGTTCCTCTTTGAAAGTCCTGGCTTCCTGGAACTCACTCTGTAGTTGGCCTCGAACTCATGGAGGTCAGCCTATCTCTGCCTCTTGAGTGCTGGGATTAAAGGCATGCGCCACCACAGTCTGGCTGGCATGGATATTTCTGAGCCTAAAGCTTATAGATAAAACTATAGATATGGCAACAGTATAAAAATTTGTGAACCAAAATGAAATTTAAAACCATTATTAACACTGTTTAGTAGAGGGAAAAAGAATAGTGACAAGAAATCCCTATAAACATCTCACTAAACTGAATGTATAACTCAAACTTTAACTAAAAACAGTGCAACCCAAGTAAAAATAGCTATCTGGTTCAGGATTACTGTGATCATCACACCTGTCTGTCAAACTTCAGCCTGTACTTCATACAGATTTATTTTTAAAAGCTCAGCATTTCAAGAATATTATTTATTTATGCACGAAGATATATTTCACTGTGGCTTCTAAAGGATTTATTTGATAAATCAATTAAATAACTACCTTAACAGGAAAAAATGTTCTTTCTGCTTCTATAACTGAGACCTAACTCCAGACAACATAGTTATTTGCTTATACTCCTATAGAAAAGCTTACAGAAGTAAAAATTTATTTTCTATTCAAGCCCAATACTTCTCTTATTTTAACTGAGCTTCATTGGAATCATGTAAAACCTCTCCCACAAAACTGTTATTTTGTGTGTGCTATGTGCATGTATACTTGTGTTCATGTGCCTGTGGAGGTCAGAGGACAATCTTGGATGTCATCAGGGACACCATCTACTTTAAGCTCTTTCACTGGCCCAGAGCTTGCTGAGTGGGCTCTGCTTCCTGGCCAACAGCCTCCCCAGTGCACGATCATAAGCACATAGATTACGCCCAATTCTGGCGCTAGAACTCATGCTGTATAGCAAGCAATTTACAAAATGCCATCTTTCTCGCCTCAAACTAATTTTCCAAAGGCTTCCAATCAGTTTATCTTTGAGGCTGTTTCTAAGGTGAAGCCTGTGACTTGTCTTGGACTAACCTCGTCAGCCCCAGGCTCTGGTCACCCCACTGGGAACACTCACCTTGTCATCATGTGGATCATCTATAGCTAAGTCTTGTAAGTCATGAGTTAAAACGTGAAGGAGTGGAGCTTCCCTCTTAACAACATCTGAAATCTGTTGTCCACCTCTGGCTTTCTGTGGCTGTTTCTTCACTGGTTCATCTTTTGTTTTTCCTTTCTTTCCTTTCTTCCCCTTTTCTTCTTTGTTTGAACCTGCAGACTTTCAATTCATAAGGGGGAAAAATGTAATTATTATTAGTACTAAGGTTTTTAAATAAGTTTAATGTTTTGAATCTAAACTTCTGTTTTTCCTTATATTTGTGTGTATGTTAGGAGTATATGGGTGCCAATGCAATAATTGAGTTCAGAGGACAACATGTACAAGTTAGTTTTCTTCTTGGAATATGAGGGTTCTAGGAACTGAATTTGGGTTGCCAGGTTTGGTGAAGTGCTTTACCCACTGAGCCACCTCACTGGCCCAAATACTGTTAAGGTTTTGAATGTTTATCAAAGTCTGGATACCCACTGAAAAGCAAGAGAAATGATTTAAGATGTTACTCACTGCCAGCAATTTCATAATAAGCTGACGATCTTCTTCATCTTGGTCTTTGTATTTTTCCTTCATTTTTTTCATTTTACTCTGAAATAAAAAGATTTGAAGAAAAAAAAAA